CTCCTCAGCACAGTCCATGACAACAACTATGAATGGTACTTTTACAAGTATGAGCCATACCAAGTGTTTCTTCAAAATCCACCCTGGGCACTCCTACTGGCATTTTGACATCATTCCACAGAGACAAGATCCAGTTGGTTCCTTGTCTACACCGTCAGAGAGACAGCCATGGGAGGGATACCAATGGGGAACAAAAGGAAATTGCCATGAATGGAACAATTACTTGAGGGGATGCGGAGATGTAGCAGGAGAACTGGAATGTGATCAAATGTATGCATGTTGGTGACTTTGGCTCAAAACCACTGATGGCATGAAAGCAGTAGTAACCGTGTTGTTGCCAATGAAGGAACGAGAACAAGGCAATAGAGCCTGATATACTTGTGCAACTATCTTTTATACAGTCCTTACAACAGCAGTGGATGCAGCAGCTGGGAGAAAGAACAGCAATACAGTGGTACCTCGAGTTACATACGCTTCAGGTTACAGACTCCACTAACCCAGAAATAGTACCTTGGGTTAAGAACTTTGCTTCAGGATGAGAACAGAAATTGTGCTCCAGAGGCATGGCAGCAGCAGGAAGCCCCATTAGTTAAAGTGGTGCTTCAGGTTAAGAACAGTTTCAGGTTAAGAACGGACCTCCGGAACGAATTAAGTACTTAACACAAGGTACCACTGTATACCCAGCAAGGGGCAAGTGTTCAAAAAAGTGCTTGTAAAATGCAACATCTCTGCACCAGAAAAACAAATTTGACAGACAACATATGACACTTTTTGGAACTGAGAGGCATGATATATAAAGAAGAGGCCCTGCAACAAAATGAGCAGCAACACCTTGTGCAAATATAAGCATGGTTGTGTACAATACCTCTTAGGATTTTCCCCCATTTTAAAGTGATGTCTCTCAGGCACCCCACAGAGGACTCTGCTCATATCCTTGTGGATGAACTAACAAGGTCTACCCACCCCACCACGTTCAGGGAATTTGAACATTCGGCTTTCCAGAAGCACAGTGAGAAATTACCAAACATCTGCTGAATAAGATTGCATCCTACATGAATATCCACCATGAGGTGAGTAGAAAGATTTATGTGAATCCATTCAATAACTGGCTGATGTCCAAAGATTCTTGTTTGGCCCAGAACTGTCCACCACATGCTAACTTTTCAGCTACAAAGAGAAAAGCATTTTCTTCAGTTAAAAAGTACTGTCCTAATCCACACATTCCTAACTAATAAATAGTTTGGAGTCTAATTAGCGATTTTGCATTTCTCCGTATTTTGTGATACAGTCCTTTGCTTAAAAGGCAAGCATGCCAAAAATTCATTTAAATGCATATATTTTAGGTTAAATACACTTAGAAATGCACACGTTGAGAGAAAATGTGTGACTGTGCTAAAATAGGTATTTAAATCAAAGATTTTTCTGGTGTATTTGTTTTAAAATGCAGATTAATGTGGAAATAGGATGCCAAATTGACACTCTCTGTAAATAGACACCCATCCATCTCTATTTTCAGCAACTTCCTCTTTTGATTACAGCTGCACTAACTGCATCAGATCACCTCACACAGTTCCATCACTTTTACAAGAGGCTTTTTGGAAACTGTGGAGAGCTACTTTAGAAGGCAGGTTCAAAGAAGGTCCTCACATAGCCCTTTGGATTACACCAAAATAATTTTACAGGTGTGGAACCTTTTTGCATTCTGCACTTTGAAACATATTCATCCTTCAAGATAACCTGAAAAGAAGGCATGATGAGGTTTATTTCTGGTGTGTCTGAACTCGACACTGTGTGGTTAAAGGCAAGCTCACCTACTCAATTAACATATATTAAAAGCGGGTATAAAATCGCTTTAAAAGATACTAAGAAAAAACACATTTCTAGTAATGTATTCCATTGATATGGTTCCATTTGAAGAATTGACAGGCTTGCAGAATAGTAATAAACTGTCCTCTTTGAGCACAGCAACAAAAGGAGAAAGGGAAATAAAATATATTCCCATTAGGCCTAGCATGCCCAAGGGATGTATGTGTTGATTATGTAGCACATTAGGTGTGTCCAAAATTAATTCCCAAGCACTCATCAGAATTCATGAACCATTATTAACATGACTTTCAAGTGTAAGCTGATCAGACCATAGGATTTTTATTTAATGAGGCTAAGATTGTAACTAATTAGAGTTTAAATAGGCTGTGTAGTGGCTTCACATACCATTGCCCTAGTAGCACAAGTATTGATCTTATGGAAAACCAAGGCTTGAATTTGAATCCTTGAACTATCAGAGAGGGGACAAGAGATAAAAACAGTGATTTAGGGCTTGTCTGCATCAGCTCCATAATGCACATTAATCTCTATTTAATGTGAATTTAAAGTACATCAGTCCTACAGCATTTGCATGCAGACAGGCAGAAAGTAATGGAGGTACCCTGCTAAAAAACTTGATGTCTGAAAATTAATGGAAGAATGAAGAGTAATGTACATAATATATACAAACAAAAAATGTCTGGCAGAAAGCTCACAATGATCCACCCAGTGTGATTTTCGTGCTTGTTGGGCGATAATGGTTATTATTATGTTACTACATTTGTCTAGTCAGCTTGGGGGGAAATGTTGCACAAAGCCGGGTTAAGCTGCAATCCTTTGTGTCTACTTACCTATGAGTAAGGCCTACTGAACTTAAAAAGATGTCCAAGTAAACATGCATTTCAAATCATAGAATTGTATAGACCAAGGGTCCTCTGGTGTAGTGGTTAAGAGGGGTGGACTTGTAATCTGGGGAACCAGGTTCGCTTCCCCGCTCCTCCACATGCAGCTGCTGGGTGACCTTGGGCCAGTCACACTTCTTTGAAGTCTCTCAGCCCCACTCACCTCACAGAGTGTTTGCTGTGGGGGAGGAAGGGAAAGGAGATTGTTAGCCGCTTTGAGACTCCTTAGGGTAGTGATAAAGCGGGATATCAAATCCAAACTCCTCCTCTAGTTCAACAACCTGCAATGTAGGAATATCAGCTAAAGCAACCATGACAGATGGCCATCCAACCTTTGTTTATAAACGTCAAATGAAGGAGGGACCACAACCTCCTGAGGGAGTCCATCACACTGTGAAACAGCTCTTGCTGTCAGAAAGTTCTTCCTGATGTTTAGTCGGAATCTCCTCTCTTGTAGCTTGAATCCATTGGTTTGAGACCTACCTTGCAAAGCAGGAGAATATAAGCTTGTTCTGCCTTCTATACAACAGCCCTTGAGATACTTGAAGATGGCTATTATCTCCTGTCAGTCTTCTCTTTTCCAGGCTAAATGTACCCAGCTCTTTCAACCGCTCCTCATAAGTCCTGGTTTCCAGAGCCTTGATAATCTTGGTTGCCCTCCTCTGCACACATTCCAACTTGTCAATATCCTTAATGAGTTACTTAAAGCATAGGTAAACATAATTAAACTATTTTACTGTAATTATTTCTGTATAGCATTTTAAGGCTAGTTATGTTAAATAATTTAGGTTTATATTTATAAAAACAAAACTGGAAAGCAGTTAACCCTAAAACACACCATTTAGAAAAAGAAAAACAAGTTAAGATTGACCAAACAAAACTAATCATGCAAAGTTTGTCACCATTTGAAATCATAATGAGTGTGCTGATAATCATGAGAAAGCAAGACCATAGCTACCAACATAACTCTCTGTTTTATAGCTAAGGATGAGATCCAACATTGTGACAGTAGATTTACCTTATTCTCATCCTGTGGGGGTCACAGGGGAACTACCATGGAAGGGGAAGTTCTCTTTGTGTGAGTGGGAAGCCCATCGCACAAGAGGGACACCACAACTAAATATTACCCTAAATAAATAAAAAGGAATAGATAATGAGTTGAAATAATATACATTTCGTCAGTACTTAAAATGTAGATTGATGCTTGTAAGAGGAAACTTGTAATTCTGGAATATAATAAACATTTTCTGTTAACTCTTCCTGAAATCTGGAAAGTGCCATAGCTCTGCATATTTGAGGACGGATTAGATCTCTAATTAGGCACATTCAAAATTTAATTTACTATTGAAAGCCAGTATTGTCATTTTTTAAGGAAAGGACAAAAATGCATCATCTGGTTCAAGTTTATGATGTCACCACTCACTAGCAATTCCACACATAGAAAAACATCCTTAATTAGATATTTTAAATTGAATGCATGCTTGCTCTATTTATGGTGCCAGAATTTTCAAGGGTTGATATTTTTCTGGTTAGCCAAAATGAAGAAAAATTGAAGGCTGCATGCTAAGCTTCAACTGATGAAAACAGAAAATTATTTATGTAAGCTTTTGAATCTGGGGCTTGATTCTCAAAATGCATACATAGTACTTAAAGACATAATGCAACATCTTTCATCCAACTAAAACCAACTTGCAAAATGCATCCGTTTACATACATAATACCAAAAGCAATCATTCATTATAAAGATGCTTGTTGTTTGTTTAAAGATGGTAACTCTTTTCTCTTCTGAAAACAAAAACCAAAAGCCACCTTAGTTTGATGCCAACCAGATGGACCACACATTGATAGATAGATATTAGTGGTAAAGAATGGACTATTCTAGCTCTCTCAGAATTCATATTTCATCTGCTGGAATTTCCCCAAACCCACAATGCCCTGCAACCATCTAGTTAATGCTGATGCAGTTGTAGGCTGACTGTAGAGGAAACATTCCACTTAATTTAGATCTGGTCAGGAAATCTTTGAGGGAACTTGGGTCTGTAAACACGATGAAGCAATAGATTTGCAGGAAACTATCTATGCGTGGGTTTATTTTCAAAGAAAGTTTGCACATCCTGCAACCCAATCTGAAGGATGTGTGCTTGAAAGTAGGTCACACTAACTCTCAAATATTTGGGCTTAGCCATAGGAACATAGGAAACTGCCTTAGAATCATGGAATCTTGCAATTCTACAGTTGGAAGGGACCCTGAGGATTATTCTAATGCAATCCACTGCAATGCAGGAAATCTGAAGGCGTCCCATACAGGATCAAACCTGCAACCTTGGTGTTATCAGCACAATGCCCTAACCAACTGAGCTATGCAGTTCTGCCTTATAGCAGGTCAGACCAAGTAGGTCTATCTCGCAAGGTATTAGCTACACAGATTGGCAGCAGCTCTCCAATTCCTGAAAGCAGCCTAACCCAGTATAACCTGGTGATGTTGGGTGCTAAACATAGGGCATTCTGTATGCAGAGCTATGAAAGAGCCTTCCCTATAGGATGAAATTCAGTTCATTCCTGCTTTATTTGGACACACAGAACAATTGGGGTCAGATTCAGCAGGAGCTAGTACAATGGGGATTTTCCCCTTCTCCACCCAGTGCCCTCCGTGTCCCCCCACCCCCAAATAAGGAGAACCCCAAGAACAGCACACAGCAGGAAGAGAGGGGAGATAGTTCTGTCTGTCTGTCTGTCTGTCTGCTTGAACAGATGAAACAATCCTATTAATGCAACACTGAATTCCACACTATATTTTCAGGTACCTCTTTATACGAACCTAACGGTTAGACAGGGGTGAGTGGGGGAGATGCTGAGCATGTCTTTTGATAGCATTGTCTTGATATGATCCAAGGCACAGTTAATACGTTTCCCGGTTGAGTTCCTTTTTTTTCGTAATCAATTTTTATTGAAAGTTTAAACATGAAATACAATAACAGCCAAATTAATCTAAGAGAGAAAGGGAAGAAACCAAAGAAGAAGAGAAGAAAAGAAGAGAGGAAAGAAAAAGGAAAGAAGAAGGGGGGGAGAAGATCATAATGACCACTCCCCACATCAAAAGGGGGGCGCCTTTTGTGTGGTCGCGCGCAGCCCCCCAGATCCCAGTGACTCCTGGTAGTTCGGGCTGGCTTCATCCTCCCCAGGCTGGATACCTAGAGGTCTCCGCCTACCTCAGCCAATCCCCCAATCCCACCTGGGGAGGTGTTGCCAGGGGATTGGCCAGGTAAGGGGAGGGACCATCCTGCCCACACAACAGAAGGTGAATCTTACCTGCGAAGCGGCAGTCGACTCCAGAGCTTCTCCCACCCTCCCCTCCCTCAGTTAAGTCTTCTTTTGCAAGTTAACCTCTTCTCCACAGGTACACAGGCGCTGCAACGTCATGGTCGCTGTTGAAGGGCCGGAAAGGAATTTTCCTGCATTGGCAGGTTTTGCCTTTCCCGTAGCAAAACGTCACAACTTTGGTGGTTTCAGGCCTTGGGCGGAATCCTTTAGTCTATCTTCCTAAATGGGGGGCGTGAAGCGGTGACCCATGCCCCCCTTGTGGCGGTGATCCCAGGGTTCCCTGTTAAAGAAGTCTTGAAGGGAAGCATTGGCTATACGCCGAGAGGTTGTCATTGCTGTCCCCTCCAATGGCGGTGAAATGGGGGGCGGGCTCTCTGCTTGAACATATGTTCTCCAGAGCCAGCCCAATCCCCACACATTCTGGATAACCCTGAAGTCTCCCAGAACCCCGACTGGGGACTGGGAAGGATAAATGCCCAATGCCTGAGCCAACATCTGAAGTACATCTGAAACTTAATAAAGTTGTTTTATTTTAATCCCATAGCACATTGTCTTGAGTCATTATTCCGCTTAGGGGTTGCCTGGGGTTGGGAGGACTCCACCTGTCCACACAATACCAAATGCTTTATCACAATTATACCGTAACCCTTATTCCACACATAGAAGAGCGAACCCTCCCAGCTCTCTCCTGGGAGCTTCTCTTTCCTTCTTCAGCCTCCCACCCTGAGGGATGCTCTCTACCCCTTTTATTTCACAATCCTTGTCAAAGCAATATGGAAGTTTGCACCAATCTCTCCACAAAATGCCCTTTCCCATTAAATAAATGTGGAATTCACATTAAGAACATTCCGTTGTAGTCCAGTGATGGAATTTGTGCAAAAGCTTCCCAAAGCACCATTGCATTCACAGTTTGGAAAAATTAAGTGTGCTGTCAAGAAAAAATAAATGTATCGTATCGTTCCCGTTGGCTGCAATCCAAACCACAGTTATGCAGTTTTAAATCCCATTGACTTCATTGAGACTTCAGCAGAGGTATCTAGTGGACTGGATCATAGCCATTGTGATCTATCATAGTTATTCAAGTAACTGTATCCTGTGATGACCTATGGGTTTCTCTCCCCTTCTTGTTTTCTATGATATGGAAATTTGATACATCTAGAGGAACGTCAACAATTTTTTAAATAAAAATAATAATCCTCACTGTACCAAGGCAGTGCTGTCTGTATAATATTCTATATCTGCAGAAGATTCCTGGGTGTTAGGGTTTAATAAGTGTTTTACCTTTTAAATGGGACGCGGTGGCGCTGTGGGTTAAACCACAGAGCCTAGGGCTTGCCGGTCAGAAGGTCGGCGGTTTGAATCTCCGCGACGGGGTGAGCTCCCTGCTCCTGCCCACCTAGCAGTTTGAAAGCACGTCGAAGTGCAAATAGATAAATAGGTACCGCTCTGACGGGAAGGTAAACAGTGTTTCCGTGCGCTGCTCTGGTTCGCTTTGTCATGCTGGCCAGATGACCCGGAAGATGTCTGCGGACAAACGCCGGCTCCCTCGGCCTATAGAGCGAGATGAGCACACAACCCCAGAGTCATCCGCAACTGGACCTAATGGTCAGGGGTCCCTTTACTTTTTTTAACAGGCATTGGATTTAACAATGCAAAAAGGCAGGCTAAGCTTCTTTTCCTGTCCAGGACATCGCCAGGGGGCAGGGAGTAGTTAAGGACTTGTTTTCTGCAAGTGCTGCTGGGAAGCAGAAGGAGGCAGTGGGCAGAACTCCATGGGGAGACTGAGTGGAAGCAGCCATGTTGACTGGCTGAAGCAGGCTGTCACAAAGAGACAAGGGGCTGGTGTTTAGGATGCCTCTGGATCCAATGGAACCAAGCCCTTCTTGTAAATGCTGTGAACTCCCTCTCTATCAAAACACAGGTTGTAAATATGTGTAAAATAAACCAGCTTTCTTAAACTTATTAGTCTATGCAGTACCTCATTTCCCCCAAGGAAACACGAATCCTGGTTAAGTGCCAAGCCCCCTGGAATTTTGCTACCGCTCGGCAGAGATTGGTTGAATGGCCATCTGTCATGTATGAGTTAGCTGAGATTCCTGCATTGCAGGGGGTTGGAGTAGTTGGAAATTGGGGTCTCTTCCAACTCTACAATTCTATTATTCATTCCAAGCAAGCAGGAGACTCAAAACCTTGATCCATGATCCAAATCTTCTGGAACTCAAATGTGCCGAGTCAGTTTCTCATGAGCCATCCTCTCTTTCAAATCAGAACCAGTGAAGGCGGTGAAGGTCCTGTGCGAGTGCCTGGAGGCGGTTGGAGGATGGATGGCGGCTAACGGATTGAGGTTGAATCCTGACCAGACAGAAGTACTGTTTGTGGGGGACATGGGGCGGGCTGGTGTGCAGGACTCCCTGGTCCTGAATGGGGCAACTGTGCCCCTGAAGGACCAGGTGCGCAGCCTGGGAGTCATTCTGGACGCACAGCTGTCCATGGAGGCACAGGTCAATTCTGTGTCCAGGGCAGCTGTTTATCAGCTCCATCTGGTACGCAGGCTGAGACCCTACCTGCCTGCGGACTGTCTCGCTAGAGTGGTGCATGCTCTAGTTACCTTCCGCTTGAACTACTGCAATGCGCTCTATGTGGGGTTACCTTTGAAGGTGACCTGGAAACTACAACTAATCCAGAATGCGGCAGCTAGACTGGTGACTGGGGGAGGCCACCGAGACCACATAACACCAGTCTTGAAAGATCTGCATTGGCTCCCAGTACGTTTCCGAGCACAATTCAAAGTGTTGGTGTTGACCTTTAAAGCCCTAAATGGCCTCGGCCCAGTATACCTGAAGGAGTGTCTCCACCCACATTGTTCTGCCCGGATGCTGAGATCCAGCGCCGAGGGCCTTCTGGTGGTTCCCTCATTGTGAGAAGCAAAGCTACAGGGAACCAGGCAGAGGGCCTTCTCGGTAGTGGCGCCCACCCTGTGGAACGCCCTCCCATCAGATGTCAAAGAGATAAACAACTACCTTACATTTAGAAGACATCTGAAGGCAGCCCTGTTCAGGGAAGTTTTTAATGTGTGACATTTTAATGTATTTTTAATCTTTGTTGGAAGCCGTCCAGAGTGGCTGGGGAAACCCAGCCAGATGGGTGGGGTACAAATAATAAATTATTATTATTATTATTATTATTATTATTATTATTATTACCCTGTTCTTTTAAGTGTCAGGGTATACACTATGTGCAAATTTCTGCCCTGCATCTGCAAACATATAGTGATGCTGAAGAGAGCGGACATCTCCTGTATTCACAGAGAGCTGTGTATATACATCTAAGCTCCCATGTGGAAATTTTAATTGATGGATCAAGGTCTATGTATAAAGAAATGCAAGCATCAATATGCATTTCAACACACTGCAGAAGCTAAGAATGCATTTTGTCCTGCTAAAGTGAGTCCGGTGTTCCAAATATTACACCAGACTAAGTTTAACATGCTTTTGAAGTCATCAAGCTAACTTCTAATAGGCATGTTTGGTAACTGGAGTTGCATAAATTCAATAAAGCTTTGAGCAACTTTTATCCAAATGTACTAATTCCCCAAAGTACCATAGCAAGGAGTTATCGATTTGTCTTGTAGACTGATGAAAGTTATTACTACAGCTTTGGCAGCTTGAGAAAACCTTACTGGCTAGTTTAATTAAAGCCAGAGCAGAATTTAAAGGTGAAGAAAGCATGAAGACAGCAGAAAATATTAGCTTGATACAAAAAATAATCAATCAGCATTCTTGGCAACAAGTCCGTAAGTTGATGCCGTTCTACTTTTATCACTTCTACTGCTGATCAGTAAACATGTGGATTGGGGGGTAAAGAATAATAAATTCTGGCATGGGGAGGAAATACAGAGATCTTTCCTACAAGAATTATAATTTGCAAACATGGGACACTAATTTATATGACTTCATGTGTGAAATGCTTGATGGAAAGAACTTTGCATATTCAGACCCTCCAAGTGTCCCTATTTTCCAGGGACAGTCCCAGACAGAAGCAGT